TATATTCTTTGATAGTATATTATTTATTTAGGTTATGTTTTGTAAACAAAATTATTTTATTGATAGGGATGAAGAAAACATTCAGAGAAGACTTTTGCGAGATTTGGTAAATCCAGTGGAATTAGTGGAAGCCGTATTTTAAAAGATATTTAAGTTATCGAGGGAATTGTCTTTGCATTTGGTTCGAAAGTCTCCAGCCCCATCTAAGACAAGTGCAAAGATCAAATGCTTTAGCACATGAAACCAAGATATGTTGTTTATATTAAGAATTGAGTGAATATATTCCAATATGTTATATTTTATTTACTTTTTATTTTATTATATACTATATTTTATTTTTTTTTACCATGGAAAGGTCCACTTTTAGTAAAGTATTGACAGAAGTAACTGATGCGATGGTAGAACATCTGTTGCCAAGATATGTTAAATTTCTTGTCACCCCTGCAAAATGCCAAGCAGTAACAGAAAGGTAAAACATATGTAATTAATGTTGTTCTGAAGCTATTTTCTTGTGGCATTTTAAATTAATTACTATTTAACTGGGAATAAGCCCCAATTAAAGGTTAAAATATGTTTATTAACATTTCAATTTCCACTTCAGAAATTGTTCTCAAAATACAAACACTAAAAACAAATTTTGTTTTTTTGTTACTTAGTGAAAAATTCTTCTAATAATTTAATTTTATCTGACTCATTTATATTGACAATTCAGACATACATTATGCATTTTAAAGTAGACGACTTTAAAATGATATTGCCAATATTGTTGAGTTGTGCTCTTGGAACGACTTTACTTATAAGATAGTTCATTCCATTACATGAAATCAACATTAACTTGAGAATATCTGTCAGAAAAAAATCATAGCATGTAATTCATCTTTAAAAAGACAAACACATGCCATGATGACAGTAAAATTCTCCTGTTAGTGATTCCATAGTAAATTATGAGGGAAAAACCAGGAAAAAACCCCATAATGCTATCTCGACATGGTAAGTATTTGGTCGTGCATTTAGTTTGCCTTTAAGTCCCACATCACAAAAAGAATAATAAGTGTGAAGAAGATTCAGAGAAGGAAAAAATAAAATTAAGTATTCTTAAAATTAGAAAAGAAAAGGAAGAGTTAAGTAGAGACGTTTTAAAATTAGAAAAACAGAAACAGAGAAAAGAGAAACAGACACAAAAGAGTTGGCAGTTAAAGAAAAGATTCTACAACTGAAACATCAATATGGGGTTGAGTTCGAGAATTTAGAAATTTAATACCGTTTGGTTAATTTTATATTATTGTAAATTAGTTATTAAAATAAAAATTGGTTATCTTATTATTGTAGAAGTATCATATAAATGACATCATATACTGGTACCCAAACAATATTTAAGAGGAAATAATAATTTACAAACCTTGCTGTGTCCTCTGGAAAAGTTAAGGAATGCTTATTTCATCTATTTTTACAACACAAATTCCATTTTGCCGTCTTAAAATCAAACACTTTACTCAAGAATAATAATAAACACAAAAAACTGAACAATGAAACTGAAATATATGTACATACTTTGTTTTTCAAATACCGTAAAATGAAAGGATTATGTATCTACTTGCTGATATGATCTTATTTTCATGACTTCCTTGAAATGACAATGTATCGCTTGAGAATATTATAGATAAATGAAATACTAATAGATCCCGTAACATTTTGCCTATTTTTCACAAAGTTATCTGTTAAAAGTGGGTATAAACACTTTCTTATAAGTATGTATTTATTGTAGAAAAATTCTGTAATAAAAATACATGTTCATTATAGTATCATAAATATCATATTCATTAAGTTACTGGTGTTATATTTAGTTTGTTTCATAGATTTATTACCAGAGTTTAATAAGAAAAAGTTGACACAATTAAGTTAATTTTATTTCTGTGACTATTTGAATTGTCAACACTTTTTTTGTTAAATTAAAAATACATATACAATAATTAAAACACTCATAATTCTTATATTATGTTTTATTGAACCGTAAATAATTTTAAAATAAACATTTTATTTAATTAATAAATGCAGTACGAATGACAGCATTTCTTACAGCAAAATTATCTTGATTTCTAGTGACCTTGTTTAAATTTTTATCTTCTGACTTCGCGTGATTACTGCCATCTTCACTATCAGTCAGCACATCATTCCTCCTTCTACATATATTATGCAATACACAAATTGCCACTATAATTGGAATAGCTCTATTTACACTGACTAGACACTCTTTACATTTTGGAATGAGGTGATATAGTCTTGCAACTGTATGTGCTTCATTATCACTTTATATTCACAAACATAACACACTTTTCTCTCTTCAACAAGTCTTCATGTGTTGTAGAGGTGTGTCCTAATCTGAGACTTCTTATTGGGATTTGATGTTGTCGCTTTGAAGGCCTGAAGTATCATGGAAGGACGGAAGATTTTATTTCTATCAATTTAGTGGTGTTTCTATTCCATTGGTCCCGTAGACAAACAAGGAAACCTTCTCTTTAAGACACCAAACATTCTTTCAATTGTATTCTGTGTGTGGATATGTGTATAATTGTATTTCCTTTCAGCTGGCGTTTGTGGATCATGTAAGGGAGTTAAAATATATTTTCGGCATAGATAACCACTATCACCCAGTAAATATGTTTCACAAAACTCATTGTTTTCAAACTGAGCTCTTATCAGAGAATTATCAAATACATGACTATTGTGGGAGTAACCAGGCCATCTAGCAACTACATTGATTACATTTAAATTTGCATCACAATCCATCTGTATATTTATTGAAAAATACCAGTCACTATCAACACTAGATACAGTTGGAGAATTAACATCTGACACTGATGATACTGAAGACATTTCAAAATATTATTAAATCTAAATATTTTCACACCAGCCGAAAAGACATTGAAACTGTCATATTTACTTGTTAAATAAAATTTACTTGGTAGAAAACTAAGGAATAGTTTAGTTTGCAGATTTACTTCCAGAATTAATTTACTATGTGTTTAAAATACGCAAATCTGCAGAGTAAATTATTTTACTTTCAAACTAAATTTTACTTAGCAAGTAAAATGTTTTATAATACCGCAATACCAGGCATAAAAGTGGTATAAACAAACCAGACAGCTGTTGATTTGAATATAATTATTAATTATTTTTAGTAAATTTCAGCATTATGACTACGTTAAAGTATTTTAAATCCAATCTAGAATAAACTGAAAAACTAATTTATTATGCAATTATTATATAAAAAAATAATTTATTATGCAATTTTTTAAAGACAAATCATGTGCTATATTTTCTGAGAGGTGATCTCAAGTTAAGGTTAATTTCATGTAATCAAATGAACTATTTTACAATAAAGCCAAGTTAAAGTTATTTATTTATGTTAATATACAATAAAGTACTTACATATGTCAAAAAATAGTATAAAATAAAAATTAACATATTAAAAACATAAGATATAATAATGCATATATACGTTAAGGCAAACATTACACAGAATATTATATTCTGGGTTCCCAGGTATACACAAAATAGGATTCATCATCAATACACAAGCCAGTTCCAAACATTAAAGTTAAAATTTAGGAATTCATCACTTGAAAACTGCTTCCCCTTCAACCAATGGACTCTTTGCTTCACCACAATACTCAAAGATATCATTAAGGTTAATTTCCATTATTAAATGATACAAATAACTCGTCTTAAACCAAACTAAACATGGAAATGGAAAAGCAATGGTAAATATTCGAATGTTATGTTTGTTTTTGTTTATACCATTTATATCGGCCATGACACTGCAATCGACCTGCCCTCTACATTCAGTTTCAATCGCCAATAAGAGTTCTGTATTCTTGTGTATTCCTGTGACGTAACTCAAGCATCCCCACCCCAGTCGGAAGAGGCAACCGGAGTGTCTAGGAACCGTGATACATGTAAAAATACTGGGTACAACAGTCATTGTAAATTTTATTCATTTCCTGTTGCCAAGCATAAAATAGTTCAAAGAGAAAAATGGATTATTGCTATCAACGAGAAAAATAAGTAAATAACCTATAATGAAAACATGATATTTGTATGGTGTAAAATTAAAAAGCTATTATATTCCGAAACATTGCGTACATGCCCTGCATCAACTAAACCTTTTCCCTTTTTTGGTGTAGCTGGTTGAAATGGGATATCATGTGATATAGACTTAAAACCAGTATAATGTTTAATATCCATTTTGATAAAATTAAAACAAATTTAAGAGGTGGAGGCCATAAAACGAAAGAAGAAGAAGAAGAATTATAAAAAATTGATAAATGCACACAAAAAATAACTGAGCAAAAACAGAATAAAAATGTAAAATAAAAACAAGAATTACAACTTACAACGTTACAGAGGTAAAGGTAAGCTTTAACTAAAGAATATAGACGTTTTAAGCGTCTATAACCTTAAATATTTGCTTTAACCATTAAATATTTTCATATAAACTTCTTCTTTTTCTCAATGACCTCTTGCGTAAGTAGTCATCCAGTCGCAAGAACTTATATCTTAAATATTATAATTATAATGAATAAAATAACAAGGCGTAATGACTTTTACTATTAATTCTGTGTATTCGTTCATTAATCAGTTTACCATAATATTTCAGTTCATTATTTTGTATTTTTAAATAAATATCTATTTTTCTCGTTTTGTCATATTTCATTTCGGAAATCATTCTAGTTCAAAATACAAACAGTAAAATTCAATTACAATTAAAATTAAAAAACAATTTTACTGTTTGTATTTTGAAAACGATTTCCGAAGTGGAAATTGAAACGTTAATAAACGTATTTTTATATTTAATTGTGGCTTATTCCCAGTTAAATTAAAGTAATTAATTGTTTATATTGAGCTGGCGTACTAACTACCACAGCGTATAAGTCATAAAAACAAAAAGAAGAAGAGGATCTACCGTCCGTAAACATAACCTCAAATTTTAATAATAAAACAATAACAAAGTGTAGTGTAGATTTTGATTATCTTCTTTTAAAAAGTTTATTAAATAAAAATGGAAATGTAAGTAGATAAGAAGTTTGTGTAAACATTTTACTGTTAATTTTTTTTTTTAGAGTTAATAGTAATTGTGCCTCATTTAGTAACTATGAGGTTTTAAAACATCTACAAACAATCAAAGATGGAAAAAGGAAACATATAGGACAACTTGCTACAATAACATACGAGGTAATATTCTACAGTATTTAAAACATCACATTCAGATTACCTAATTTTTAGACTATAAGATACTTGGAAAACACTCCTTCAAATGACCAGACTCGTGATACGATCAGGGATTGTATGAAGGATTTGGCTGCTTTCAACCTGAACAAAACTGAGATTTTAATGATTATTAATTCACCTCCGACAACAGCTTTGGAGATTCAATTGGTTTGTATATTCCGAAATTATTAGATATTTTATTTCCTATTAGATCAATTAGCATTCCGGTAATTATAAGAATAGATGTGTAGTAACTACTGAAGGCTGAAATTGGTTTTCCTATATTATTTGCAAAAACCAGATTTAATCATTTTTGCAGATGTCTCCCATAAGAAAACAACTTAGTTATTTGTATTATGAACATGGCAGTATTTATATGTAATGTTTATAATTTGGCTCCTACAGTATTTAGTTTGAAGAACAATGAAGATTAAGAGATGTATTTTTTAGCATATAGATTAGCTACTAAATTTGACTTTTACATAAAGTACTTAAATCTTTCTGGTGGACACAATATTTGTTTGTGGTTTTGAATAAATAAAAATGCATATGTGCAATTTGGAGAGTTTGGTGGTAAAATCTGAGAGATCATAGAGAGATTATTCATAAGAAAAACAAGTTGTTTATATAATAAAAACAAAAGTTTGTAAACTACTAGACCATCTACACATAATAGTTAACCAATAATCTGTTACAATGCTGTTTTACATTCCAATTATAAGTAATGTTTTTCTTTCTTCTCTGTATGACATAGCAAGTAAACTGAACATGTAACCAAAACATTTCTCAATTAGCTCCTTTATTTTTAGATGGTTGAAGAAAGTGAGGAAAGGCTGACAGAGGAACAAGTTCAAGACATTTTGAACATAGTTGCCAAACATTTTCCACATATTGTAAAAGAACAACCAGAGGAAGAAAATGAAGAAGAACCAGAGTGATTTGTTTGTTAATTTTTTTAGAGTAACTTTTCTAATAAATGTATATTTTATACTCAACAGATTATTATTTTTTACTGTGAATACATTACTTTCACCATTGATACATTAATTCTATGTTTTCTACTAAAACCTTTTGTTCTTTTAGGATTAATATAGTATTGCCTTCATTTTCTTTCACAATAATTATTTGTCACTTTTATGTAAAATTTTAATTTTCCCAAAATAAACAAAATGAATTTCACTTTTGACTTCTTATTGTAGACTTGTTTGACTTCTGTTTCGGTCCATTGACTTAGCTGTGGAATTTTCACAAATTTCACTATGAGTGTAACATAAGCTAATGAGTAGTCACTGGGAGTGACTACTCATTAGCTTATGTTAAAAACTTTCATTTTAATTTATGCAGTTTTACTTTGTTAATAAACTGAATGTGAATGTTTTTTTTGTTTAACCAATTAATTCACACATTAAGTTTGAGTTTACTGCAAAAAAATGATGCATTTTTTTTCATAATTTGATTATGCATGTAAAATAAATAAAAAAAAATACATTTTAAGGGGCGTAAAAAGTGTATTTTTCATGATGGGGGCATATTAAAAATATAATATATATTTTTTTAGTATTTTTAATTTAAAAAAATTAATATATTGTATCTTCACATGAAAAGTATACAATCTCCAAATTTTTACGAAATTGAGTTAAGTATATAGAAACGCTCAGTATCATCAATATTTTCTCTGAAATAGTGACAATCAATCGTAATTCAAGAAATATCCGCTAGGGAGCACATTTGCTAGATTTAAATTGGAAGGATCGTGCATCTCTTTCGACCTAAAACGGTACAATCTTTAATTGTGCTCATGAATCGAGGGAGTGCGCTCGCTGTTTTGCTTAAAGGGTATACAAAACCAAAATATCAACTTGAAGGTAAGCTTTGTGTTTCATTAATAGTGTATAATTTCAAATTTATTTATCTTTGCTCAAAATATTTTCAAACATTCTATTTAAAATCATGTAATTTTGAAATTGTATAGTTTTCATGAAAAAATTTACTGGTATATGATGCAGTCTTTATCAGTGTAATAGTATATTTCCGTAATTGTATACTGTTTCAGATAAAGTAGAACAAAAAATTGATTTAAATTCGTAATTGTATTGTTTTAATCACAAACTTTACATCGGACTGTGTTTAATTATGATATTGTATTCTTTTCGTCATATTATTTAACGTTAGTTTTTTGTTATGTTTTCGTTAATGTCGCATATTTACTTTTGTTTTGCTGAAAAGAAAATAATAGTATCTGATAAAGTTATTTTTTACAGATCCATATAATTTTTTTTAAATGGCAAGCAGAAGAGTATTTTTGGAAAATCTTAAAGAAAATATTAACTCCGGAAAAACATTAACCGAGTCAAATAAAAATAGGAACATACCTTTTGTTGATTAAATATTACGTGAATCTCTCAGCCAAAACATTTCTCCAAACAATTGGGATTCGCAGCCTACTGCAGAAGAGCAATCACTACCGTTGCAGTCTCAAACAACGCAAACAAATTCACCACCCAAAAAGACACATAAACATAGAGCTAACCCAAATGCCTGGATCTAAAAAGGGTAGCGACATTTAGGTAAAAATTATGCTACAAAAACTAAAGCCGTGAATGCTAAATCTATTAAGCCTACTTGTGGAGATAAATGTAGACAAAACTAAATTTACGGAAGAGCAATGGACACAAATTTTAGATGCATGCTAGGCATTACCTGATGCATTGCATAAGCGTACCTTCATTGCTTATAACATCGAAGAAATAAAGCCAAAATATGTATACAAATCTAGCAACAAGAAAAAACAAGACCAAGAAAAAACAATTTGAAATGTTTCTTTAAAGATTGCAATAACCAAAAAGTTCATGTATGTCAAAATTTTTTCCTAAATATTCTTGATGTATCTCTCTCAATAATACGAACAGTGAGAAATAAGGTATTTGATATGAATAATCCGATGCCTTTATTCGAAGACAGGAGAGGTAAACATGAACATCATCACTCTGTTAACGAGTCATTAAAAAATATTGCTAGAAAGTTTATTCAATCGATTCCTCGTGTCGAGAGAAATTATATTAGGACCAATTCTAGCAGAGAAATATATCTCAGAAGGTAGAAATCGTAGTGATATTTATAGAGATTATGTTAAAATGTGCACTGACAAAAAAGAAAAGTATATTAACTATGTTATGTTTCATAAAGTCTTTAATACGGAATTTAATATTAGTTTTTTCATACCAAAAAAGACGCGTGTGAAGATTGTACTGCCTACAGTAATGGTGTTGGAAGAGAAAAAGAAGTAATGAGAAAGGTATATGAAGACCACAACAAAAAAGAATTATCACGATTAGAAAAAGAAAAGGACAAAAATGAAGCTCAGTGTGGATCATCGCTAATAGTTGCTGTTTATGATCTTCAAGCATCATTGCCTTGTCCAAAAGCGAAATTTCAACTTTTTATTACGTCTAGAAATTAAATGCTTACAATTTTACCGTCTTCGATTTGAAAACAAAAGATGTTGAGTGTTTTTTCTGGCATGAGGGGCAAGGCAACAGAGGAGCTAACGAGATAGACACATGAGTTTTTAAGCATATCCAGAAGATATAGACATCATTTTTTACAGTGATAACTGCACAGGTCAGCAAAAGAAACAAATTGGGGCAGCAATTCCTACCCTTAATTCAATTACTCATCAATTTCTCATTAAAGGGCGTACGCAAAATGAAAATGATTCTACTCATTTCGTAATTGAGACAAACATCAAAAAAGCCCTTAAATCTGGACCTATATTTCTAATCAATATGTTTCTTTAATGAGGACAGTCAAGAAATCCGGTAATCCTTACAAAGTAAATGAATTTACATACGATCAATTTAAAGATTTTAAGACTTTTACTAATGATCTAGGGCGTAACATTTCTAAAAACACGGAAAATGAAACTGTTAAAATGAATGATATAAAAAATTTTCAAGTTACAAAAGCTAATCGTGGCCTTTTTTTTTCTAAGACTTCATACAGTCAAGAACATTTTAAAATGGTAAAAGTTGCATCTGGTAATTCAAAAATTCTAAGAAAAAACAATTTATTTAAATCAATATACTAAGTACCTATTAAAATTTCACAGCAGAAGAAAAATGGTTTATTGGGTTTACTGCAAAAGAAAACCATTTCTGGTTATTATCTTGGATTCTATGAAAATCTTTGAAAAACTCTCCCGTTTCTCTTTTTTTTTTACTTTAATTAATTGTTTTTATTTAATAGTAAATGTCATTTTGTTAAATAAAGAGTTTTGTCTTCGGTACACTAATTTCTAATATTTTTACTAAGTTTCATTGTAAGGTTAAATTTTTTTTTTTAGGTTGTAAATTTTTACGTTTGTGCCATATTCCTATTTGTTATAATATTTTTGAGAATAAAAATTTGCTTATAATCCCAATTTTTCATAGGACAAACCCAATTTTATCAAAATAGTACATTTTAAACATCTATATAATAATAGAAATAAATATTTTCTCTGAAAAAGTAGCAAAATTCAAAACATCTTATTTAAAAAAAAATTAAATATAATTAAATATTAAAAAAAAAATATGGTTGAAATATATTCATGTTTTTTCGACATAAAAAGGATACAACTAATACAAACTAAAACAAAAACCTTCTAATATTTATAGTGGAAAATTTTATTTAGCAATAAATCTTAAAAATGCTCTCCTGAAAAGTTTGTAAATTTTGAGATTGTACAGTTTTCATCCGAACGGACGATATGTATAATTAGAAGCAAAATATATCAGGGGCATAGAATTATAGTAGAGTATAAATAAAAAAGGGTCAGACAATGTTTGAACAATGAAAAACTAAACTGCAAATGTAACACAAAAATATTGAAACGAAAGTAAACTTAAGTACAGCTACATACAAAACTCATTGTAAACTGTAAAAATGACAAAAAATAGTAATTATAATTCTTAGAAAAAATTATGAATAACAGCAAAATTAAACAAATAATAAATTCATCATGAATGGGTCAGAAACAGTCATAAAACCTTTCAACAGTGCTGTACTGTGGTCTAACATGTCAGACATGTGAATCAAATTTACAGCCAAGCAACTATGTCAGACAACAGGATAATGCATATTAAGTGGTTAAATATTGGCTATGGGAATGTACACTTGGTTCTATAGTAATTTCCAGCCACTGCTAGTGTCAAAATATAACCAACCTAGCAAAAAATTATTACTAGACAGTTGGGACAAGGATCGGCAAACTGAGTATAACAGTTGTTTTTATTATGCACATCAAAGACCCTAATTATAAAGGTGACATGAAATTTTTATTTTAATTACTTGCACAGAATGACATATATATATATATATATATATATATATATATATATATATATATATTATATATATATATGTATATATATATATATATATATATATATATATATATATATATATATATGACATAACTTACAATTTTGTTAATGAGACTTTAAATATAATTGTTTATATAAAACCTTTATAAGAATAATGACATTGACATATATGCAAGCCAGGATATTTAACCCGTCTAAGTCCACATCTAATTGGAAATCTTAACATCACTAAAATAAAACAACAACTGCAAACAAATAGTTTAATTTGTTAATATGACTTAGAAGTTAATCTTAAAAAAATATAAATAGTTTATCTCTTTTGGTCACCCAAGTCTTCAATGAGATCCTCATCAATCTAAAAAGACAGAAATTAATACCAAAAATGTCTTAAACATTGAATCACTTACTTCAGGCCACTTCTCTGGAATAACATCAAACAAGTCATCTTTAACATCTCCTTGAATAACAATTTCATCATCACCTGTGACTGATGAACCACATGCAAATTTTGTACCAAAGAATTTGGCTGCCACTTTCAAATCAATATCTGAAAAAAGATAAAACATAGATTGAAAAAGAAATGATATTGTTCTGAAAAAAGCAAAGATATTGTTCTGAAACTTTATGCCTCTCAGGATTATATCAACAAATATAGACGCAACAAAAAAATCAACGCTTAGAAACAAGCTTTGTACCTCCTTTCAAAATTTTGGTAGTGATTTTAAGATGAAATTGTGGGAGTGAAAATCCCATATCAAATATTTTTTTTATTTCTTGTTTATTGTTAATTTGTTAAAGAAATAAATATAAAGTGTATGTATTTATAAAACAAATAAATAAAAACATGTAAATAATTTATTAAATCAAGTTCAAGTCAAGTTGCCAGTCAAAAAGGGGGCGCAAATTTTTTTAATTTATTTAATATTTAATTTCATTTATTTAATTTAATAGTAATACATCAAAGCATAAATCAAATGTTTTTGCTTTAGTAAAATTAAAGCATGATTAATAAAATTACAAACATTGATTGATAAATAAATGAATATATGGCACGATTTTTTTGTGTGTATGACAAATTTGACTGTCTGATCTATTAACAGTACTTATTATAAGTTCAGATATCATTGCCTACAAAAACCTCATATTTTTGGTGTAACTATGAATTTCATTTAAAACTGAGAACATTGTCTCCATAGGTGTTAATATTTTAAGAGTGTCTATACTATTTCATGGCTTGTAGTCAAGAAATTGTGATGATACTTTAATTTTGCATTTAAATAATATAAAATCATTTATAATAATCTTACCAAAACTACTCAATCCTGTAACTACAGTAACAGACTTCTTTTTGCCTCTTGGAGCTCTCGAAACACAAACCTGTTTGGGACCATCCTCCTTTTTTTTGGTTTTGATCATACCCTTGCCTCCGCGTTTCTGTCTTTTCTTTTCTTCCTCGACCGGATTATCATCGCCAATTTTTACTTTTTCGAATTCTGATGGTAAATTAACTTCTAGCCAGTGCTTGCACTTTTCATACTCGGGATAGTACTCACAGTACTATAAAAACAAATAGAAACACATGTTGTCATATTCAGTGATTAATAAGAACAAACTATATTAAACTATATGAGTTTATGTTCCATTGGAGATAAATACTTGGACCTACCTCAATTGGCATTGAACAATTACCGCAATACACTACTTGTAAGGGGTAAGTGATTCCTTCTCTTGGACCTTGTTTCAATTTCTCCTCGACAGACATATTTTGGTTATAAAAATACTACAAATTTCAGTAAAAAATTGAATTTCTAGCATCAACCACAGTTTTCGTACTAAAATAACCTCAACCTTTTAGAAATAAATGTCAATGTCATAATTGGTAACTGAATACTTAAAAGATTTTAAATTAAGCGGCAAAACGATATTTCCTTTATGTTTCTACTTTTTTCATTTACGGTTAACATTTTGCTTTTATTCTAGCTAGTTGTTAGTTATTTTGTGTTTTGATCTTTTTTTTTTGTAGAACATTTCTATTTTGCCGATATAGGTATAGGTACATGTTGGATCTAGGTTCTCTCTGTTTATATTTTGTTTTTTTACATGTTATCAAGTAAATATAAAAAATGAATTTAATATTTTTACATAAAAATATTAAGTATTGCTAATTAAAAATAAAATAAAAATTATTTATATATTTTTAGTTTGTTTGATTGTGCCACCTATATAGTAAACATGAAACTAGTAGAAAAGGTGAAAACTGTAACACTAAAGAGTATAAATTCCACAAACCATACATTACTCTGTATGTATGGTTTGTGATAAATTCCTAAAAATAATTTTACCATCTGAAAGGTCACCATGATCAGTTGGTTTCAGAATTTGGTCAGTTATATTTTATTTTTTTATTAAGAATTAAAAATGTTTAAGGACAAAAATCAGTTTTTTTAAACATAACTTTCTTATTGCGGGCTACGCACGGACGGTGGATTGCTCAGAGGTATGATAAAATAATGTACCGTTTTTAGATAAAACGAGCGATTCTTAATTTATATAAATATATTTATTTATAAGTTTACAGTACGAAAATATCTTATCAACTAACTTAGCTAATATCGGAGCTACTTATAATAGTCCACCTCTACTCTTCTCATCGAAAGCGCATCAAAGACGGGTGCTATTGAAATGCTAACTCTTGAGTATTCTAGATTTATCCTTCTAAGAATTGTGACACGTACTTTGCATCGGAGATGGGCTATTTCGTTACACTGCTCCCTTCTTAGATCTGAACGTCCTGAGCAGCAACTTTACATGAAGGACCAGTATGGAGGAATCTACAGAACTCTCCAGCTCTGCATGAACCACTCAGACAGAAATATCAGTCTACTGTCTTTGAAGAACACGATATCTTCGGATTAATACAACACACAGTAATTCGTACGCGGGTTTCTCGGAAGATCACTTCAAGCAAGCTTCTGGCAATTGCCAGAAATGTTACAATTTTGATTTTCTAGTGCATGGCCTATCTTAGGTAAGACCAAACTCTTGATGTCGTAATTGCACACGATTTTCTTCAAATTTAGAGCACGCCATATATCCTCGTAGCTTGCCCTATTTGTATACGACTTCCTGGTCACCATATACAGCAAAGATCGAGGACCATCTTCTAATCTCAGTACTTTTCCAACTTTAGGCTGCTGATTTTTTAACTCATCCAAACGAGCGAACTTCTTATAAAATACGGATGAGATTCCTTTGGTCATCTCAAGATATTGGGCAATACAGTGGGCTAGAAGACGTTATGTGAAACACTAAAAAGATCTTGCTGAATTTCTGTGGTCACACCGAATCTAACACTCTTTCTCTCTACGTAATTTGACATAACTTCATTAAAGCTTGGTCGCCGGTCACCTTTGATCTTATGTTGAAAAGTTCGTGCTTCTTATGTTTCATTTTAGCCAGCGTAAGGTGGAAGACGATTTATGTGAACAACTTTTGGTTTACCTTTCGGCAACTTCTTAATTCTTCATATTACGTCATTTATTCTCTTTTTAATTTCATACGGACTTTCCCATTGTCTTTGCAGTTTAGGAGACAAGCCTCGACGACGTTGTAGATTATAAAGCCAAACAAGATCACCTACTTCATAGCTTTCATTCTTGTATCGAGAATCATATTTATCTTTTATTCTGTCACTGACTAACTGGATGTGTTGTCGGGCAAGTTCATAAATGTTGTTCATTCTTAACTTTAGGCGGTCGACATAATCTTCGCTTGCAACATGTTCTTCGGAAGGTCTGCAGCCAAACTCTACATCGCAGGGTAAACGACCTAGAATTTCACGACCTAACATCAGGCAGGTTGGAGTCTGGCCTGTAGTTTCATTCACGGCCTAGCGGTAGGCCATTAAGAATAAATGAATTTGCTGGTCAAAACCTCTTTGACGTTCTGATACAACATTGGAGTGTTTACCCATCGTTCGGTTCATCCTATCGACCATTCCATCTGATTGAGGATTCAGGGGTGTCGTTCTGGTCTTATTGACACCAATCAATTTACAAAGGTTTTGGAAAAGGGTTGACTCGAAGTTTCTCCCTTGGTCGGAGTGGATCTCCAAGGGAACACCAAATCGGCTAAAGAATTCTTTAACAAGTACATGTGCAATGGTGGCAGCTTCTTGATTTTTGTACCGCATAGGCCTCAGTCCATTTCGTAAAATAATCCATGACTACTAGCATATATGTTTCTCCATCATTCGTCTCTGGAAGTGGACCTGCAATGTCGATTGCTACTCCTCTTTACATAGGACTACCAACATTATACTATTTCATGGGTGCCCTCTTTTTACCAACTGGACCATTACTGGTTGCACATAGTTCACATTTCCGGTACCATCTTCTTACATCATCTTTACAGTTCACCCAATAGAACCGTTCTCGAACCTTTTGCAGATTCTTCGTAATACCAAAGTGTCCACCTGATGCACCGTCATTCAACTGACGCAATACTTTTGACACTTTACTCTTAGGTACAATCAACTGAAGTTTAGATTCTGTACCATCATTGTTCTCAAAGGTTCTATACAAAAGATCATCTTTTAGCACTAGGCAATTCCATTGGCTCCAGTAACACTTGACTTCTGAACTACATGCACTAATGTCTTGCCAAGAAGGTCTTTCACTACGACGCATCCAATTCAATACTCTGTTTATACATGGATCATCTGCTTGAGTGTCTTGTAGCTATTGACGCTGCCATTGATCATTAATGACGGTGGATCGTCTCACGGGGCAAAGTCATTCTCATAATTTAAGACAGTGATTAGCATTTGAACTGCATGGCCGTCTTGACTGACCATCAACAGTTGAATGACTTTTTTCAGCTCGGTATCTGTTCTAGCTTTCTGACTGTTGTATTATTATCTTGCAATTTGAGGCGAATGTGACCTACGTCGCCACCATTCCAACATCTGGTTTCGCATCTCTTCGGCATGATGTTACGAACTACTTTTCGTATGATTTTCTCCAGACGTTTTTCGTTTTTTCGTCGCCCTCTTCAGAGGTTCGTACTCGATAGCTCCGTGAAGCTCGACTAGTTGTTTCGTGTTCCAAGGCAATAGCGAGCGCTTGATCTAAAACTTTCGGTCTTGCTAGTCGTAAAGCTTTCTTGTAGTTCATTGTCTCTCAACCCATTGACAAAGGTATCTACAGCAATTTCTTCCAAAATGTTGTGTGATACCTCCGGATAAGCCAACCGCGCTATACGAGCATCATCTACTTCAAATTCTCACTTGCTCGTTGAATTCTACTTCTTATTTGTGTTTTGTAGACTTGTTGTAGATGGGCATCTCAGTAACATTTGTCTAGTTGAGTGAACAAGGTCTGGTAACATTTTTCTTGGCCCTTAGGAATCGATCTTAGGATATCCGCAGCTTTACCTCGTAAAGCAGTAGTCAAGGAAACAGCCTTTTCTTGTTCTGTCCAATGATTCGCTGTCGCAATAGTTTCAAATTGTCTAATGTATATGGACCAAGAAGACTTTCCATCGAATGGTGGCAATTTGAACCTCATATGATATGTCGTTTCGTCTCTAGGTGATTCTTCTTTCACTGCCGGATCTAAAACTACTGCTTTTACTATCAGTATGAAGACCACTAAAACGACGGAACGACAACTTACTGGAGGCACATTGAAAAATGTTGAAAAACAGACAGAGCCGTCTCTACATAAAAAGAAAGAGAAGAGAAAGGACTACAAAACTGGAATGAAATACTTTCTGAAAAGTCTGATTTTTTACCAGACGTGTTTGAATATCAACCAAGTGACTCAGATTCAGCCAGTTCTAATGAGCCAATAAACCCAAAGAAACGTCAAAGTTTAGTTATTGGATTCAAGTTTTAAAACATAAGATATGACTTTCAAATCAACCAGTTCTCAACAACCAATAGCAGAAGATTTTCCTGATAACGTGCAACATATTTCAAACCTAAATGCCATGTGATATTAAAAAGTCTATTTTTAATATCAACTAATCGATATAGAAATAATACGCATACAATCATGGAAAGATACAACACCAGAAAAAATGGAAAAGTATTAGGGACTAATGATGTGGATCAGACTTTTTCCTCTTCCTACAATTGATTCATAATGGTCCAAAAGTTCATATATAAAAATGAACTTTGTCAGCTAATGTCAAATCGTTTTCAATTACTTCTAAGGAACTGGCACTTCATTGACACAAAGCTGTTATGGAAAGCAATGACAGATTGTATAAGATTACTTCTCTTTTGTCAAAGCTCAAAAGAAATTTTCAAGTGGCTATTGTACCATCAGCATTTTTATGCATGGATGAAACTTTGGTACCATTTATAAGGCGATTAAAATTTAAACAATACAATCCTCTTCCTCCTCATTCTTTGAGCCCTTGTCAAAGCGTGGTGACACTCTAAATATTATTGGCTTGCTGCCTCCATTGGCTGTAATTCTATGCCATATGGACGGCTTCATCTAGGGATTTTCCCACCAGTTTTCATTTGGTCTGCTAATCGTGTCGGGGATCTTCTTCTTGGTCTTCGACCTTTACTTCTTCTACTACCAATAGTTCCATGGCTCTATGTTCTAGCTATGTGATTTTACTTTTTTAATAGCCTGTCTTTTATATGAAGCTCTTCTAGGATTGACAGGTTGGTTCTATGTTTTGTCCAGCACACGCGTAGAATTGTTCTATAATTCCACATTTCGAAAGCTTCGATCTTATTTCTATCGATTTTTTTTAAGTGTCCATGTTTCAGCTACGTATGTAGCAATGGAAAAAATAAGGGCATTGACAAACAATAAGCTTAGTATTCCTTGTTCCTTATTATTATTCGATCATTCCATATTTTAATCAGTTTAGTTGTTGCCGTTCGGGCCATTGCTAGTCTACGCTTGATTTCTAAGGAGCAATCGTCATTGTTAGTTATCAGGGAGCCAAAGTATACAAATCTGTTTACAACTTCAAAATTAGCCACTTTGTGTATGTATGGTAGATTATTATTTACTCTATCTACGATCATTATTTTTGTTTTTCCGGTTTGATCTGACGTCCGAATTCTTCGCTTATCCGTTCAATGATAATGATAATTTCGACTTCATTCGTTGCTAGTATAAGTGTATCGTCTGCGTATCGCAGGTTGCTGATTTTTCAGCTTTCTATTGTGATTGCTCCATCCCATTCGTCTAGTACTTTTCTTGTTATATATTAAGAATATATGTTGTATAATAATGGTGATAGTATGCAGCCCTGTCTAGTTTTTTTCTTTGTTTTGAACGCATCTGAATATATTCCGTGTATTTTAACTTTGGCTGAGTTTTTATTATACAGATTTCTTATTAGGTTAAATAGGTGGTTAGTTATTATTCACCTATTTTCTGTTATAGTTTATTCATTTAGCAAATTCCCAACTATCAATAAAAGCACGTGTCGATATTCGCCTTCTCATTCGTCAGGAGGCTATTAAATATAATTTATTGCCTTAAGCCAGACAGATTCTCATGTTACAGATCCAAACTTGCGAGTCTGTTTTAATTCAAATTGTATCGTGTTGGTTTTTAAGTTAATATATTGTGTGTTATATTTATGTTACAGTTATTGTTAAGTTATTTACTGGTCGTGTTATTTTTTAGAGTTTAGTTTAATTGTGATTTAATGAATAAATATCAAGACATTCTTACACTAATAGTTTCAACAATAAATATTTTTCAGAATCATACCTGTTTGGCTTTCACGTGCGTATCTTGACAATTGGAAATATGTAAAATGAATGTAGTTTATACCTCTCTGGATCCTCCAGATGGGATCCCATTTTACTAAATCTCCGAAACAGAGCAGCATTGTTATGTTGTGTTCTCCCGCGTTCCTTTTCCTGGTACGAATCCGCAATGTTCTTCGGCTATCTCTGGAAGTAGAAGGTTCTTTAGCCGTTCATTGATTATATGTAGTAGGACTTTGCTCACATGAGTAATTGCTACATACAGTTAGTGATCCTTTTTTATGGATAGGGATAAATGTTAATTCACACCACTCGTCAGGCCATTGACCTGTGATCCATATTATGTTGATCCAGTATTACATCTACACTAATATCGCCTATTGCTTTTAGAGTCCCCGCTAGTATGCCATCGATCCTTGGGGATTTTTTGTTTCTTAGTAGGTTGACAGTCTTCTCTACTTCTGCTCGTAAGATAATTGGTTTTTCACAACAAAAAAATACAAAAGTTTATTTCTGTGTATTTAACTTTAGTTTTTACACAAACATGGATATAGCGAGTTTTTTCTATTTGTTGGGGCTCGGGATCCAAATTTCGCAGGCATACGCAGCTAATTCCTTTTCAGGGTCTTTATTACTAATTAATATTAATTTAAAGAGTAAATATTTTTGCAGTGTTTTGGAAAAAACATATAATTCGCTAGGTTTTCAGGGCTGATCAAAACCGATCTTCTATAGACTATTTGCTTAAAGTTTTTTTCAAATTTTCGCACTCATTGTTCTTCGCCGTCTAAAGGCTACCGTAAGCTTTGAGTAGCTCTAAAATTCCAGTACTGATTGCCTAAAAGATCATCATCTTTGGCTCGACAATCCTCTGTGGATCCTAACCTGCTCTAAGATTCGTCGCCATTTTCTTCGCTTTCTGGCGACGTGTTGCCATCTTCAGATTTTTAGTATCCCTAAGTTGGTCTAAACTCCATCTACCCACCTAATTCGCGGTCGACCAATGCTTTTTCTTCATATAGCTGTTCCTGTCGTTAGCTTTTTAGCAATCGTATTATCTGGCATTCGTATTATGTGTCCAGCCCATCTAAGTTGCTGTGTTTTAATGAACGTTACGATATCTGGTTTATTAAATACTTTTGCATCACTGCTCTTGGTTGTTTACAGCTTCAAATATTTTGCGAAATTATTTACGCTCGAATAATATCAAAAGTCTTTCATACTTCTGAGTTAAAATCCATGTTTCCGCTACATATGTAAGGGATCGGCTTCGGCAGTGTTTTGTATATAATAATTTTAGTTCATCTTTTGCTAAAAGATAGGCCTATGCAAAATTACTAACCATCAATTGATTGAATATAGGAAAAAACATTTTTTTTTAAAGAAAAACAAAAGTGCGTTTAAAGAATTTTAAGCAGCAATAGTCCAATTATTCAACTGTCACATCTCGCATGTTCATTTGTTTCTTGGAGTCACATATTTTAGAATAGTATATGGAAATCTCTTTATTTTTCATATTTATTGATTTAACTTATGTTTATAAGAGTTTTTGAAGATCTGAGTATCGTTACGCCTATAACATTGTTTCATAATTAACATCTTATGCAATGTTCATCAATACGCAACAATTTTTTGTTAGGTTTGTTCTATGAACCGTACAGTGAAAAAACAATACACACCTAATTGGGAAGAGACTTTATTTTTAAATATATACAGACAAGTATTCACAACTTCTATTAAAGAGTACAATATTAATTATATGCATGTAAAGTACATGAGAGGTTATATAAACGATTGTGCACATGCAGATTTAAGCAAGCAGAGTAAAAGTGTCGATCTCTTGAGGACATTACTATATTTTTAATTGATGATATATAATTTGATCAAAACAATTATCTGACAATCGAATAGGAAAACCACCAACTGTGATATAATTTCTACTTAAAAAAGCCGAAAAAACATATTTCTTCTGTTTTAGTATATTATTTTTTTGAAAGCAGTTCTATTGCATCACAAATATGAAAAAATTCTAAAACAGCTTTCAATCTACTAATTATTTCCTCTTTAGATTGTATTCTTCCCGTTGACAACTGTAAAAAATAGTAAATAATGCCTTTATTTACTTTTGCCAGGCAAAAGTGCTTTATTACAATGTAAAAAAGTTCTACTTAAATTATTTTTGTTTATGTGAATTATTAATTAAAAAGTATTTATTCGTATGAAGAAAGTGACGTCCTCAAAAGATGAACGTAAATCGCGGAGCCAGAATACTATTTAAAAAAATGAACAACAAAAGTTAAAACTCAAAATCGACAGTTAAAATGAAAGAGACCGAAAAATGAAGGTTTAAATTGTTTTAGTGATAATCGAAATAAAACAAAGAAAATAAGTGAAAAACAGAGACACGAGTATTCAACTAAGAACAACAATTTGTCACATAACTGATAAAAAACACTAGCTTTTGCTAAGTTAGCTGTGCTAAGTTCTACGTACATAAGTGTAACTTTTAATAATAATAGTTTTCAGAATGTTGTAGTATGGTCGAAATCGATTTTTGTCCTTAACATTACAAACAAATTAATGATGAATGGATAGAGTAATGCTATCGTTTTAATACACCCCTTTCGTAGCGGATAGGAAAGTGCACAGAAAAGACATTCTCCATCTAAGCGCATTGATAACATATCTTGCTACATCGATATGGTAATCCAATTTTCAAAAAGGTCTTTTAGGGATAATCTTAGGAATTGCGAAGTTTATGAGTTTAATAAAAGGACTATCCTAAAATAATATAAAGGTCTAGTGAATATAATTTGCTAAAAATTTAAGAAGTTTTATAAGTAGTGAAGAGTTTTAGAAAGGCTCCATGTTTATTGAATAATATATTTTACTATATAAAAAATTTCATTAGATGGCTCAAAAGTCTTTGATGTACAGGAATTGTTCAGGTTTACTTTCCTTTCATAAATTTGTTGTTAATAATGTATGCTGGTCCTTGAAGTCTCAATTAGATGATAAAGATTTGTTTTAAATAAATAATTGATGATAAAAATTCAATTTTAAATTCTCCTCCCTGTTTTGAGAGTATCTCAAATTTTAAATTTGGCGAACCCTCTTCCTGTATCAAATAAGAAATAATCCAGTATTTGGATATTATCTCCAACTATCATAATTAGCAGCAATTCTTGAATATTGTGCTGTATGTTCTAGTCGAAAAGGATCATATTTCGTATCTGTTGCAATTTGTAAGTAACAAAGAAGTAACAGTAAGCGAAATAGCAACGCACTCATATACTACAGACATATTTTGCAGTGGTGCAGAGTTGTCGCCATTTATAATGAATTGTTTCTAAAGAGAACTTACATATGCCAGACAAATAGCGATATTATTACAGCTTATTTTATTTTTGTATATCCATCAAATATTATGATCCATCAAAAAATATTATCCATCAATATGCAACATTGTAATTAACAAGTTTGACATTTCAAAAAAGTATTTCACATTTTTCTGTCAGTTTTATGACTAGTAGATAACCTCTTTTTTGTTTAGTTGGACAAAAATCGATTTTACACCGTATTTAACAATGTTGGTTAAAAATACTGTTCGGCAGAAATATGACGTTCGCTCTCCTGTATGTGTAGTACGTGTAATGGGATGGTTGTCGTAATCAGTGCCGAAAAAAACCACATTTCTGCGCGTACCTAAAATGACTGGATTAGCTACTCATGAATTTGTTTGCGAGTTATCCCTAAGAAGCATCTACCTTTAAATATAAGCTAATTTATGCTCTAAAAATTCCACCGGAATATCACATAGAAACGTAAGAGTTATACAATAATAATTAATCCGTTAAAAAATTCATCTAACACAGTAAAATCTAGGACGTGAAACTTCTAGAGCGATCGATTAAAAATAACAAAAAAAAATATATAAGTTATCTCTTAAATAAACGTTTTAATTTTTTTAAATGAAAACTTAGGATGAGGAAATAATCTTCAAGTACCTGGAACTGATCGTAAGACATATGTAAAAACCAGGCACGTAAACGTGGTGTGACTTAAGTAAAACAGTTTTCTACTTGCACGCACTGAACTACTGTCTTTTTCTTAATTTCAGAACATTATTGTTCCGACCCGCTTGGAAATTTATTGAAGAATAGAGCGACGTACATCTTAGCGACATTCCCACACTTTCACTGATTGATCTACACTGCCCGATATAACGTAGGGGAGCGCCTTGTGGAAATCTGAAACACACAATCAAGAATTATATAAAATTATAAATGAACTTAATCAAATAATAAAAAAAGAAAAAATATGCATATAATAATAAACAATAAATATAAAAATTCCTAATATAATGGAGTTCTATTTGGTATGTGGTACATCTTTTCCCTATATAACTCAAAAAATTAAATACTGGACCTCTGTATATTAATGTTTTATTTTACATCAACCTCAACTCGATTATTTAAAAGTTATTACTGCTTTAGTTCAAAGAGAAATTGCCGACAAAGATCTCCAATTTAGCCACAATAAAGAAACATCGCAACGAGTCATCTAAATGCTTAACACACTTCGACCTTCGAATTTTGTTATGTACCAAGTGATTCTTCAAAAAGTCTTGAGCTATACATTCGGGTTGAAACCGAATAGGCATTTTATATGTATTAGGCAGTGATGCACGAAAAAAGTCGTTAAAGCAGAACTTAAAGTGTGGAACTCTTTTACACCAAATTTAGCTTTGAAATGCTTAGCTACGTGAGATCAAAAACTATATCCACACATTTACACATTGTTGCAAACATATGCTACCATACTTATTTCCACTACTACCTTAGAAAGAGCGTTTTCAAGCCCAAGAAGACTTAAAAACTGCTTATGCTACACAACAAGTAAAAACATACTGAACGGCTTGGCTCTTATGAAAATTCACTATGGAATAGAAATTGAGGCGAATGAAGTAGTGGATATATTTAAAAAGAAATACGGAAGATTAATTCTGTAATCTGAAGCTATATCCGGTGAGTAATAGGAGTGTCAAAAAAGAGGGACGTTTGAAAAAGTAAACAAGTTTCATCTAATTTTTTTTCCATTGGCGAGGGGAGGCGCTGTAATCGCAAAAAAAAACAAATACAGTTAGAAGTTTGTACAGTATCAGAAGTCTTCTTTTTCTTTATAATCAATTCTGCTTATACTTCGTCCGATACATCTTTTGCCGATTGGTAACTTATCTCTTGCTATTTTGACGACACGGGTCTCCTCTATTCTGCTTATGTGGTTATTCCAATCTTTTTTCTTTATATTTTGTGTCCATTCACTTATACACTGTACGTTTATGGTCCCGAATACAGTTTTTTAAGTAGAATATGAATCTGCAATAAAAATGGAGGTTTCTATTTATTACTTCAAAGTTGTCCCCGCCCCTCCCCCACAGGTAGACGTGAGGAGTCGCGTTTGGAGTCATTCATAAAAATTTTAAAAAATATTAAAAACGTTTTTCGGTTTTTCATTTAACAGTGTATCTCTTATTGGCGCTATTATAGCGCCATGTATTACGTTCTTACTAAGATGTCAAAGATGTTCACAGCCCCAGCCCCCGGGACAGAGGTGGGAGGTCATGTTTAATGTTAATAGATAGATTTTTGAAAAATATTGAAAGCGCTACTTTTTTGCTTCCCGCTTATTTTGGTACATTCAGTATATAACATATCGATATTTTGATAATATACAAGGGAAATATCGAGCACGTTATTAATTAAATCTTGCCCAAGTACTTTCGATCACTCGATCATCTTCAGGGGCATTTCGTCAATTGTGGCCTATCCGACAAGAGTGGAATGTCATAAATATAAAATGGGACATAACAATACACTAAACAAAGACAAACAAACACTTTACAATTTTTGAGGAAAGGTGAAGCTACATGGTATATAGAAGCCGGAGACAGAATGATATCGATATTTTTTTATTTAACCTAATAATGGTATATAGAAGCCGGAGACAGAATGATATCGATATTTTTTTATTTAACCTATATTGACCCACTGCTCGAAAACGGACACCTCCAATTCTTTCCCGGAGCTTTTTTCTATATCTATTTCTTACATATTTAATATTTTTCTTATGAATAAAATATATAGGTTATTTTATTTATTTTCCTTAGTGCGAGGTGATTAATTTTATTATTGTTTATTCAATTTGAACTTTTGCGAAGCAAGTAATTTTTTGTCGATTGAAAAATTGTCAAAAATAGTTTGGTTCTACCACAATATACATCAATTTATACAACAGTTTACAAATAAAATTGTTAAAACCTGAGTGCTGTGAAACATAAACTGAGTCTCTCTGGAAAGTTAGGAGTGCTCCAAGCTGTGAAGACTTGCCAAAAAAAGAAAGATATTGTTTAACAATTTGGCCTACTAAATTCTACTACACTCACAGTACTAGAGGCCATAATTACACTTTTAGAGCTAAAAGTCCTGAGAGGTATTGTTATATCCCCGGTTAATGTGAAATTCTGATCTTTCTGTGCTTGGTGTTAGTTGTATGTAATATCACTTGTGTATACATGATGTGCCTCTGACCTTTAGTGTTGTGTACCTTCTTCTTTTAGTATCAGTAACCAGATCTTGATGAATTCGATTGATGAGTTTGCTACATAATTTGATTTATTTCTCAAGCATGTTTGCATGTCTAAGATCTATCAAAATCTCTGTTTTAATGTAAGATTCATATTCGTTTGTCTAACACTTAGTGGTCTCGAAGTTTCACCCAGATAAAAATTATTACATTCACAAGGTATTTTTTAAATGCAGTTCTTTGATCTTTCCTGTATAGTGTTAGGTTTGGTTTTGGATAAAATATATATGTTTGTTGGTTGTTGTAAATGTTGTAATATTGTATTTTTTCCTATCCTTTCTATTTTTTTTTTGAAAATTCTTTTACAGGATGGTATTGTAGTTTTCTTTAAATTCCTTCTTCTAAGTGTTTTAAGATATTTTTTAATATCGTATTGTTTCATTTACTCTATCTTATAAAATTATATGTTCATAGGTGACAATGGATAATCATTTTTAATTATCTCAAATGTGCTATACTATCTTAAAATTGCTTATGAATTTTCTTTTGTATAATAGAATATACTTATTAGTATGTATTAGCATATTCTATCATTAGATATCATTATATGTTACTTCATTGCATCGTTAACAAGGTTTACGATTTTCTTTTCATGAATATATATTAATAAGTATTTTTCTTCTAAAAAGACGTTTTCGTTGGAGCAGGTATTTTGGGCCCCATCCATATCTCTTTGAAAAGTTTTTGTTCTATTTGTACGTAGATGATGTGTCAGTTATCGCTTGTTGAACTGTATCTTAAATGTGCTATACTATCTTAAAATTGCTTATGAATTTTCTCTTGTATAATAGAATATACTTATATATTAGTATTAGATAAAAGTATATTCTATTATTAGATTTTATTAGATATTACTTCAGTGAATTGTTAACAAGGTTTATGATTTTCTTTTCATGTTTTTTGTTATTAATCACTTTTTCACATTGCATAAAGTCCACTCAATTTGAATAAACTGAGTACTTTTCGTAAGAACAAAGGTCATAACACTGGCCCTGTTATCATTTTGCTATACTCTAAGATCTAAGAATACCAACCTACCCTGCACTAATTTCGCTAGCAGTAAAATTAGACTAGTCACATTATTATTGTAAATATATTTAATGGATTAGAAAGGTTTTTATATTCACTTTTTATACCTATTTATGCATATACAACTTCAAGCATTGGGGAGAGCTGAAGATATTAGTATCAGTAAGTGATACAGATACAGTAAGTATATTGACTTTTGAAAACTTACCCACAGATGTGCAAAAGTGTTTGTGTGCTTCCAGTGTCTTCATGCAACGTTTATTTCTCAGATCCCATACCCTAAGTGTTTTGTCATCGCTAGCAGAGACCAAAAATTTGCCTCCTGGATGAAATACTACGCCTCGGACCCAGTTGTCGTGTCCCGTTAAGACGAATAAAGCGATGCCAGCTCCAACATCCCATATCCTAAAAATTAAAACGATTTAATGGTATAAAACAAAAAAAGTAAAAAAAAATAATTTCTCCTTTATAGGTGAAAATTTTTGATGTGTGAGAAAGAATTGCCAAAACAAAAAATTAAATATGGATCTAAAACTATTTCTTATGATACGTTATACATTGAAATAGTCACCATTGAATTGAATAAAATAGAACGAGATGTTTGTTAATCCGCAATATTTCTTTTTTAATTATCTTTTTATGATATTTCTATGAGATGCGAGCAAAACAGTTACAGTAGAACAGATGAAATGGAAGGAAGAGATCTTAATTAGGTAAAAGAAAAATTATAATAAAGTTGAAATATAAATCCTTTAGTTATGATGTACAAAAATATTTAAGACAGTTAAAAGAAATAAAAATAATGAATACTTGTTGCTGAAATAAGAACGCTACATAAGTGGAGTGAAAACGGAATATGTAGATATAACTTTAAACTGCAGAATATCTACAAGCATAAGTTTGGCGGAAAAGATATTACCGCTATAATCAAGCGAAACCGTCTGCAGTGGGCAGGACATGTAGCCCGGGCCACAGAATTGAACATGATAAAAAAGATTTTTTTGCTGCCACACCGCAGCCGCTGGGAACAAGAAGACGGAGCACACAAAAGAGCATGTGGATAGACGGAGTCACATATGATGCTGACAAGATAGGTGTTGCCAACTTTATCATTCAAACAAGGGGCAGAGCAGAATGGCGCAGAAATCTTGAGAAAGTCGAGGCCCTAGCACCATGATGATGATGACGTAAGTGGAGTGACATAAGTTCTAAGCGAAAATATTATGGGAAGTCTACCACCCATTCAAAGTCAAAGAGCATTTTGTTAATGTAGTTAGGACACATTCAATACATAAAACACAATCACACAATACAAAGAATTGCGGAGTGTCAAGTTCCAGGGGAGTTAATGGGGTAGAAAGCGTCTCAAATAGCTTCTCTACTCAAATGTCAACTTCACCTTCACGTGGTGCTCCTTATTATATAATAAACGAGGCTATAGGGTATAGCCAGTACCAGGGAAATAACTGTAATAACGGGAATTATGGAAATGTAATTCCACATATCGTTCAAAGTAACGAGAAATGTCTAAAAAATGGCCTTCAGTCCCGGACAGATGTTAAATTATCAGAGGGTGGGAAGTATACCGCAGCTTGCCACAGTCAAAGTTATCAAATATACGAACCCTTTTTGTTGCAGGAAAACCAGCAAAGGCAACCAAAGACATGAAGAGAATGAAAATAGGCTCCATGGGTATCAGCGAAACGAGATGGTCCAATAACGGCGCATGTAAATATAAAGGATACAGTTTCTACTACTCAGGAAATGATACACAAGAACTCGAATTGAGGGGCCATGCTGTCCTGTACTATAGAGAGTACAGGAGAACAATTAAGGGCCTGTCCACAAATGTAACAATGGCCCATCCGCCCATTCATTACCAACTGGTATTTAGAGCAGTTAAGACGATAGGCTGCCACCATTGCTTCATACTCTACAATAAGATGAAGGGGAGGTAAATCCAGCAAAGCATCAAGAGTCGCTGTGGGATTGGTCTTCATGGCTCCTGAGATGCCAACGCATGCCAACCGCTTGAGGCGAGTCAATTTGATTTTAGCTAAAGTCAGTCTAGCCCGGGTCCCACACAGTGGCAGCATACGTCAATATAGTCTTTATCATGGATCGGTACATCCAATGTACAATTTTTCCGTCAAGGCCATCAATCATCATGCACCACAGCAGCAGGACAAAACTCTTACCTGAGGGCAACCACGAGATACCGATACCAGAACGCAACAACCTTTCGGTACGCAGTATCTGCCTCTGAGAAAGTAGAACCCGGATTCACCTAACCAAGCTGCAGCCAATCCCATGCCGTTCCGCAGCATCACACATCGAATAAAAAGTAGCACAACAAAAGGTATCCTCATAAACATGCCCAGGCTGCATTGCTTTCGATCTAGCACCCCCTCTATGCTGTAGACAAAGTGATGCAGTGCCGTCACACATGACTTTTCAACCTGGAAGGCGTATCGACGTGCATGTAAAAGGCTGCCCCTAAGTGATCCATAACGTATGAACCGGTCCATCAGTCTCTCCAAAGCCTTTAGAAGAAAGAATGAGTCTGATTGGCCGGATCAATTTGGCAAGGGTAAAATCAGTTTTAACCGGTTTAGAAATAAATATGAGCCCAGTCTTTCTCCAGGGTAAAGGAATATATCAGAAGACAGGCCCTAAACATCTTGACTAGTGTGGGAATCAGGTCCAGACAGACCCTGATAAAGCAGAGCCGACATAATGCCGTGCTCACCTAATGACTTAAAGGGGGACGAAACGCCTAACAGCCCAGCATGACGCTTAGCTGACATCTACAACATTTCCAGAAGAGTAAATGCGTTTGTTGTGATTTGATTATACCTTATGAGTCATGCCAATTGATTTTTTTCTTATTTACATTTCATTCCATTGTTTACTACTTTAATTAATTATCCAGCTATTTCTATTTCCTACATAAACAACGTAAAACGCTTCAAGAAACACAATGGAACCAACAAATGACATTTAAAAAAATTGTGACTTATGCTGTTTTCGAAATGGCGGCTTCATTTAATATTACGTATTTTTCCGAACGGAATTAATTCTTTAGACATACCTAATTGTTTTATCTCTAGAAGCTGAAGCGAGGAAAGGTCCAGTATGAGCTCCTTTTCTGTTATCCGCTCCGGCAGCTTCGTTGATGGGTCCGGCTGCTGAGTCCGGCGCCCAACATATACACTCGACGACGTGGTCGTGCGCCCTTAACTCCGTCCTACACTCCTTCGACGATGCTACCCAAATTCTGACGCTCTGATCGTTGGAGCAACTAGCTAATAGCGAACCGTCCGGTGATGCTCGTACCATTCTTACCTAAAAAAAAACATATAATTCACGCTTTATAAGGATTTTTGATATAAACTTCTGATAAAGTTAATAAGTATATCAAAATATTAAAATAAGAAGGCAGATTTGCAAAAGTAACAATCAAAGTTATGCCAACTGCTTATACTGTTGAACATATTTTTTTCTCAACATTCTTCATATTCTCTATGCTTCGCGTTTTACACAATTTCATCCATCTAATAGCTGGTACTAGCTCTTTGGTTTTTTTGCAAACTATCGTTTTGCTAGTCCACCTTCTGAATTAATAACATCTTGAATTCGTGATCTTTGCCTGATTTGATTAGACTGAAAAGCCAATATTCATTGATTTACAGTAATATTGCAATTCTTATGGTTTGATCTGGATGTCTTTTGTGGTTGAGTAAGCTTCGGCATCTGTGATAGTTTTGGATATCCGCACTTCAGTAATTCGAGACATACTGCTCCTGTGCCAGATGTTTTTGTGATTTTCGTGACCATAATACTTTTTTGTATCTAGGTACATTTATTTCAGATCTTGTTTGTGAATCTTCATCAAATAATTTTAGTTTATTTGTACACTGTGGTCGCCTTTCTGGTAAAAAATCTTTAATGACATCTTCTAAATTATTTCATTTATCCATAATTAATTTGTGAATCAAATATTTTTTCGTATAATTTGAATATAAATAGTAAACTCACCCAATCCCTATGACCTGTGTATGTTTTAACGCAATACCCTGTCGATACCTCCCACATCTTGATGGTCTTATCCCTACTAGATGAAATGACGAAATCCCCAGCCGGCATGAACGAAACGCTCGAAACGTTGTGATCGTGACCTAACATAGTGCGCACGCACTCAAACGTCTGTTGGAAATCCCACAGTTTGATGCTCATGTCGGCGCTACAAGATACCAGTAATTTACCTGAAAATAAATGATAAAGTCATATATAACAGAATACATATTACAGAATATACCATCTATGTATATTATAATATACTGATCGTCAAAAAAAAATGCAACACTTTGTATACGGTTATTAATTTGGATCAAAAGTATGTGGGTGTGGACGTTGAATATTGCAAGGCCTTGATTTGCGCCATCTTAGACTTCTTGCTCCCAGAAATAGAGGGGGCAATGAACATCAAGTTAGAGATGATTTAGTTGCAGCTACATGAAGGGTAGTTTCACGAAGGACAGGTAATCAAAGATGACAAGGAATGGGACTGAGAGCTTACCATCCGCTCTTGGTGCTACCTTAAACACCACAGCATAAGACCCGGCTCTTAGAATGGCAAAACTGGAATGGCCAATAGAATTTTGTCTACTTCAGTGATGAATCTACATAGGTTTTGTTTGGAGCAGATTTCTAAATTTTCGTTTACTTTATTTGTAGGAAGGAAATAATTCGGATGACCATTCAAACAAGGAAAATCAAATAGGTGACATAAGAGTAATGGATGATAATCCAATTTAAGAAGAAGACAGACAGTCGGATCGGCAAGAATTTCGTCAAGATTTAAATTTTGTCAACGGAGATATTACTGAAGATATCAATATAGTAGAGATGGATGAATCTGATAAAGAAGAAAATGATGGGAAAAGGAGTGGCGCAAAATATAAAAAAAAATATTTTAAATAATACTAAACACAAAAAGGAGAAATAAAACTCAAAAAGAGTTTCGTTAGTATTTACGCAAATGCGACTGTCAGTCGAAAGTTTGAATTGAAAATTCTAAAAAAGAATATGACAAATGTTATAAAGTAAGTTCGCATGATGCTCAAGGTTCCTTAATTTGCGCCATGGTTCAAGAAGGTCCAATAAAAATAAAAGAAAACAAAATTCTACCAAAAAAATGCACTCCTGGGTGTAAAATATTAATGGCCACGTAGTTTACAAAACATTTTTGTTGCAAACCCTAAGAATTTTGAATGCAAGAGTAGATAATGCCTTAAAATGAAAATAAAATGGATATGAGGAGTTAAAGAGAGGAAAAGCAGGCGGAAAAAATAAAATATCACAAGAACGATTGCAAGAAATATTAGAACATATTGAACAATTTCCAAAATATGTCTCATTATGCAAGGGAAAAAATCAAGTTCCATGTACTTACGACCAGGCACTACATTGCCCATTGTGTACGATTTGTACAAGCAGCAAGTTAATAATTCACCTATGTCTTTTTCATGTACAAAAACGTTTTTAAGTCATTTTAATTTCAAAAGAAAACCACTGAAAAAAGACACTTGTAGTCTTTGTTACAAATTAGAAATTCTAATAAAAACAGCGCCACAGAAGAAAAAGTTAAATATAAAACTGAGAGGGATAGCCACATCGATTCCGCTGAAGAAGCAAGACAAGCTTTAAATGCAGACAGAAAGCGTGCAAAATTTGACGAACAACTTGAAGTATTTTGTTTTAATATGGAAAAACACTGCCTCTTCCCCGTATACCTACAAATGTAGTTTTTACAAACGCCAACTTTGGCTTTATAATCTAGGTATACATACAGCTAAACATAATAAAGGCCATTGTTATGTGTGGTTAGAAAGGGAAGTCAAAACCGGCCGAGCGGCTCAAGAAGTTGGCTCTTGTTTATTTAGATATGTGTTGGAGCCATAAGGCAGATATGGAGGCATGTAAACATTTAATGTTGTGGTCGGACAGCTGCGGAAGGCAGAACCGAAACATTAAAATAGTTTTGATGTCAAATGCCATTTGTGATGTGCATCCGTTACTGGAGAGAATTACTTTATGTTTCCTTACATCTGGCCATAGCTTTTTGCCAAATGATGCAGATTTTGGTGACATTGAATGCGCCTTAAAATTCGAACACTTTTTCGGTACTTGTAATTTGGAAAAAAGAGTCGTCAATAGGAAAGTGGATGTCTTTAATAATAAAATTAATTGGCGTAAATTTAAAGAGATTGAATCCTCGCGAAAAAAATTTTGTTAAATATTCTTTCCACGAAGAAGCTCGTGAGGTAAGTCTAGAAAGGAAACGTGGAAGACCATTATCAGAACTTTATCACAATTTTAAAGAATCACTTGTGTTGCTATGGCCAGATGGAAAGCCAATACCAGATAAAAAAACTTGATGATCAAAAATTTTTGCTTAGTACTTTGACGAATTTGTCATTTGACGAACTTTAGTAAGGTCTTATAACATTTTTTTGTTTTTATATCAGACTACAATTTGATAAGATATTACTGTTGCTATATTTAGTTTTACAATGTAGTTTGGTCATAAAACAATAAAAATATTCTATATACTACATAATGTTTTAATCCGCATAAACCTCCCAAATCGTGTTGCCCAAATGCAAGAACAAGACGAGACTTAGACACTCTTGGTCTTGCGCCAATACACCTGGTCTTGGTCTTGGTATTGCACTCCCGATCTTCGTCTTGCAGCAAGAGTGTTGCAAGTCTTGCAGTTATTTATTATTGCACCCATTAGTCTATTGCTATTTATTAAACGTTCTTTTAGATCTTAAAACAACGTAATAGAGCAAGTACATTTTAAGCTTAAAGTAACTGACACCGGGTAAGGTGTAAAGCCACGATCTAAGCGATCCGTACCTATGCTCTAACTAACTCAGCTATCTACTATGCCCCACGGAAGTCAATCTGTTACTTAATAAACTTTGGCATTTAATAAGCTTACACGTGCTAAAACATGATTAAAACACAAAAAAAAAACAAATTTATGACATAAACTTGACTGTATTTTAAAGAACATTATCTGCCTAGACAGGGATTGATGGACTCCCCACCATATATGAAATGGATATTTGTGTAAAAATGTATGTAAAAATATGAGTTTGATCGTAAGTGATCCTGCAGTGGGATCTTGTACTAATAGTAAAAATAGATAAAAATGAAAAAATATTTGAAACTGAAAGGAACAGATTTGTCAATTAATCCGCAGAATGGAAATTTTCGATAGAAAGTGTAATCCTATAGTGAAAATATATTTTAATTTCATACAATCTCTTATGACTCAACTTACCCGATGCATCGAAAGCTATATCCTGGACGCAATCCGTGTGACCTTTAAGGGTGCGTTCGAATTCACCAGTCTCGAAGTCCCACACTTTAATGGTGGCGTCTTCACTTGCCGAAACCATAAGACTGAAGACTGGATGAAAGATTACTCGAGTCACAGGCGCTCGATGACCTAAAAGATACAATAAATTCTATTATTAGGCATGCCAAAATGGTAGTTAAAAAGCCGGTTCATATTTGAAGGAACAAGTGGATGAGTAAATTTAATAAATATAGTCAGGCATTTCGTTATAGCCTGAGACAATTAAATAGTGTTTTTAATTTATAATTATTTTACTTCTGTCCTCATAGTATCTAAAAATAAATACGATAAATTTTAATTTAAGTCATTAATGTGTTGCTTGTGTGAGTCCATTTCAAATAGGTAAAAGAAATAATAAATAAGACTTGCTCACAATCCGTTTAATTTAACTATCTAGACGACCGGTTTCGCTTTCTACAATATGCAAAGCATCTTCAGGTCCCGATACAAAGTTAATCAAATGCTGAAATAATAAAACCCATATTAGGGTGTTGTCTTATAAAGATAAACAAAGATAAATGATATACATTACAGTAATTATGCCAATATTACATGTCTGTGGTTTTTCAAAATGAATAAACTGTTTAAGCAGACAAGGTAAGACCCACAAATTGGTACAAAAATAAAAAAGAGGTTAAATCTTTGTAAATGGGTATATTTAAAAAACCCTTAAAAGGGCTACATCAAATTAACACGAATGTTTTCGGAATAATAATTCCATCATCAGGTTAAAAATGCCTAAAATAAGTGTAAACCATTTAAATAAGGCAAACGTGGTTTAAAATTTTGACTAAGGTTAAAAAAAAAGCAAAATGGTTATACTTACAGGTTAAGATGCCTGAGCCACCAAAATATTAGGGTAAAAACCCTTTAAAATACATAAGGTTACCAAATATTGTACATATTGTTGTTATTAATATTTGATGTTTAATATTTAATTAAATTTTACTTTAGGTAACATACACCCATGCCTTAAGTGAGCTCCAGCGTCCGGAGAGTAAACCTCTTCAAACGGACTTCAGCTGGTAACTGATCGACAAGATACCTATGAACGGTGTCGAAAACAAAATGTCAATGTACCATGAAACAATAAACTATACATAGTATTACTACAGCCAAAAGATTAAAAAACTTTGATGATGTTAAAAATGATAACAGCAATCCAGTTGTTGGAATTTAAACATTTTTTTTAATTATTTAATTTTGGATATAAAAGATGTAAAATTACCGATGGTGTTAAAGGTCAAATTTAAGAGAATGACGTATGCATTAGGCAGCCTATGTTACTCTTTGTCCTATGGAGTGTGGTCTAAAAAGTGTAATTTGATCTATTGAATTGTAATAAATAAGAAAATAAATAAAACATTACTTACATGCCGGTACCCTATTAATTAATGGTTGAAAGAACATGGTTCAAACTATCCTGTATTGCTGAATGGAGAACTTCAGTTTTTACTATTGCAATTGTTTGAACAGGGAACTTCTTAAGGAGATAGATTTTATCCAATGAAGTAGAAATAGGTGTAAGGTAATTGTTTGTTAAATGAGAGTGATGTTCTATATTATTTAATTATTTAAAAGTTATTTATATTTATTCAAGAGATATATTTATGAAATGTGTGTTATTTATTGAGATTTTATGAAGGTGACAGTTGTATGACAATGAATGAAATTAGATGTTATTTATATTTATTCAAGAGATATATTTATGAAATGTGTGTTATTTATTGAGATTTTATGAAGTTGACAGTTGTATGACAATGAATGAAATTAGATGTACAATTGTGTGGGTGTGCAAATTACTTCAACTTGTAATTATCAAATTTCTTTGATAAGTTCAATTGACTTACTAACATAATATGGCAAATGATTGTAAAGTCCAGTATGTAAAAAAATTAAAACAATCAAGGACACTTAGGAAAATACAGAAAACACTTAAAAAGGACGAAACAGACATAAAATTTAAAAAGGGGGGACTTAAAAGCACTACATCTCTGACTTAGAGACAATGAGTTTTTTTGTTATCTATTAGATTTTAGAGGTAAATTTGACAATCTAACGTAGGTTAAAGTGTGACAGTTCTTCTTCTATTTCTCAATACTGTAAGTTAAGTGAACCAGTTTTATGAAGGAAGCAGATATTAATGAATGTCTCTAATTTTTTTTTAATTTGAAATTTAAAATTTTAGAGACATTCATTAATATCTGCTTACTTCATAAAACTGGTTAACTTAACTTACAGTATTGAGAAATAGAAGAAGAACTGTCACACTTAAATCCTACATTAGCTTGTCAAATTTAACTCTAAAATCTAATAGATAACAAAAAAACTCATTGTCTCAAAGTCAGAGATGTAGTACTTGTAAGTCCCCCCTTTTTAAATTTAATGTCTGTTTCGTCCTTTCTAAGTGTTTTCTGTGTGTCCCTAAGTGTTCTTAATTGTTTTAATTTTAATAATTTTACATACTGGACTTTACAAACCTTTGGCAAATATATGTGTAAGTCAATTGAACTTTATCAAAGAAATTTGATAATTTCAAGTTGAAGTAATTTGCACATCCACACAATTGTACATCTAATTTCATTCATTGTCATACAACTGTCACCTTCATAAAATCTCAATAAATAACACACATTTCATGAATATATATCTTAAATAAATATAAATAACTTTTAAATAATTAAATAATATAGAACATTACTCTCATTTAACAAACAATCATAGTCTTTTCATTTTTATTTATTTCTACTTCATTAGATAAAATTTATCTCCTCACGAAACTTCCCCGTTGATTGTCAAACAATTACAATAGTAAAAACTAAAGCTCTCCATTCAGCAATACAGGATAGTTTAAACCATATTTTTCCAACCATTAATTAATAGAGTACCGGCATGTAAGTAATGTTTTATTTATTTACTAATTTATTACAATTCAATAGACTATTATATACCAATATGTATACCAATTTGTGGGTTTTACCTTGTCTGCTTAAACAGTTTATTCATTTTGAAAAACAACAGACATGTAATATTGGCATAATTACTGTAATTTATATCATTTATCTTTATTTATCTTTATAAGACAACACCCTAATATGGGTTTTATTATTTCAGCATTTAATTACCCTTGTATCGAGACCTGAAGATGCTTTGCATATTGTAGAAAGCGAAACCGGTTGTCTAGATAGTTAAATTAAACTGATTGTGAGTAAGTCTCATTTATTATTTCTTTTACCTATTTTAATTTAAGTCTTCGACTTGAATCGATACATCTCTTATTTATTTGTTAATTTGATATTTAGCATTTCTTTTTATTTGATATTTAGTCTTTCCATAACTTGTTTGTGCTTTTGATATTTTTTCAACGACCTTTGTAAAAGTTAATGTTTTGCATTTTCTGACATTGTCCTTATTTTATCAGTCTGATTTTTTTTTTGTTTTTTAATATACGTCCCTCAAGTAGTTTATAATAATCACACATATTTTAACGTCATCAATGATTTCAATAGTAGATTATGGGCAAAATGTTTGATGCTATTTTACTAAGGTGTGTTAGTCCTAAGCTATAGCTATTTTAACTAGATCAGACCTTAGTCTGCACCTTAGAATTCGAATGATTAGATGTTACGTTTTTTCTATCTTACTGTATGGCTGTGAAAGTTGGACAATGGACTCTGAAATAAAAGAAAGAATAGATGACTTTGAGATGTAAATATATACAGACGAATGTTGAGAATTCCATGGGTACAAAGAGTTACTAAGGTTGAGGTACTTCGTCGAATTTGTAAACAAAAAGAATTACTAAAAATAATCAAAGAGAGGAAAGGCAATACTTGGGTCATGCGTTGAAAGGCGAAAAATATGAACTACTTCAAGTTATACTGAAAGGAAAAGTACAGGGCAAAAGATCAGTAGGAAGACGCCAGAACTCATGGTTGAAAGGACCGAGGAGATGGTTCGACCGCCCATCCGCAGAAATCTTTCACGGAGCAGTTTCCAAAACTACAATTGCCATTTGGATCGCCAACCTTCGAAAGGAGAAGGCGCCATGAGAAGAAGAAGTGTTAGTCCCCTTTTTCATTCTGTGTTATTATTGTTGAATAACAGTCTCTTTTATTTCTTCTGTTTATTCTACATATTTATTGTTTTCCATTTTTTTATCTTTATGCTTCTCAGTTTCATGTCTCTTATACCCTTTATTTTTTCCGTGACAATGATCCTCAATCTCAATCAATAACCGGCATTTCTTATACATTTTCTTTTTAATATTTTTTCTATTGCGATTTCTACGATAGTTTATAATGGTCTTTATTTATTTACAACTTTATTTTCTACATTTTCTACAGCGTTTATTAATCTCTTTCATAATCTCTTTAAAGTATCCTATACTCCAGCAAAGAAATAATGAAATAATGAGTCATACGCGTGATATCTTAAGTTATTGTATATTTTAGCTGTCTCTATGAGTTTTACCAAAAAGCGTGTGTCAGCAGCTGAGAAAGTATTTTTTTATTTGGTGTATGTCATATTAATAACACATAATTAAAAGTAATATTTTAATAACAAAACGTTAAATGGAGGATTACAAACGAACATCTAATATATCAACATCATCCAAAATATTTTCAGGAATTCCATCTTTTTAGTTTTTCTTGCTGTTCTGTCAATATATTACCCTCCTTATCTATTCACTGCTTTTGTTTCGAGTTCTTTTTGCTTTTGTTTAGTTTCTGGTAAATTTTTCTCGTTTTTAAATGATTACTTAGATCTTGTAGTTCTTGAAGTTCTTTGTTCATATTTTATCTCTACTTTCTGCGACGGATTTTCTTTTCTTCCTTACGTAGTTATTTATATTCATCCTCTGCTTGTCGGATTCTGTGCCCTTTTGCATCAGTAAATATGCTCTGTTTTTTCTTTCTGTTATAATCTGACATCCTTCGTCAAAACAGTCATTCGTCAACAATATGTTCTTCTGTATTTACCTTCCATGCCTAGTAAATCTTCAACTACTTCTTTCATGATGTTTCTGCACCCTTCCCACTCTTCATTTATGTTTTCATGTTTTAGTCTGTTTTTTAGTGCGATGTTTATCTTCTCTATTATTTTTATTTTCAAGTCCTACATTGTATGTTTAGAACCTATTCCATTTTTTACATGTTTAAAATTCTGACCCTTGCCCTACTTTCGAATGAGTAGTATCAGAATCCGCATTTGCTTTTCTTCTGGTGCGGAAGCTAAGAAGTCATTTTTGAAATCAGAGCATCAAGAAAATTTTAAAATTCGATATTTTTCAAGAACCAAAAATTTTCATTTTGTTTGGCTATTTTCATTCCTGTTTCATGCCATGCAAGTTAAACTTAATTTGTATTCCAGAATTTTTAGTTTTTTATTGAAGCTTATAAAATGCAAGATGAATATAATGAATATAATAGAAAAAACATTAGAAGAAAATAAGGTCTGCTCTACAATCTTCTTGGATGTAGCACAGGCGTTTGATAAAGTCTGGTATCACGGTTTAAACTATGAACTAAGAACGTTCATGCCTAAACAGTATTCAGAAATCTTGAAATCATACATTGCGAATAGATATTTCAGAGTAAAACAAGAAGTGTACACCGACTTAAGGGAAATCAAAGCTGGCGTGCCACAAGGAAGTGTCTTAGGTCCGGTCCTGTACCTATTGTATACGTGTGACATTCCAGAGCTAGAACTAAATACTATTGCCACCTTCGCGGATGATACAGCCATACTAACCATAGGAGACATTAGTGAAGAAGCGACTAATAAGTTGCAAGTATCAGTAAATAAAATACATAACTAGACCAGAAAATGGCGAATAAAATTAAATGAGACTAAATCTGCACACATTAACTTTACCAATAAAAAAATAGATAATTTTCCAGTTAGAATAAATGATACCCGACATCCTTATGCAACATCAGCAAAATACTTGGGCATCACCCTAGACGCGAAGCTGCGCTGGAAAGCCCATGTCAAAAAGAAAAGAGGAGAGCTTGATATTACATATAAGAAATTGTATTGGCTGATTGGAAAAAATTCAACATTATTAATTCATAATAAATTATCCATTTACAAGCAAATACTGAGGCCAGTATGGGTATATGGGTGCCAACTCTGGGGCTGTACCAAAGCTAGTAATCTACATATTATCCAGAGATTTCAAAACAAAGTACTGAGAAACATTGTTGATGCTCCTTGGTATATCCGTAACAGCAACCTCCACCAGGACCTGGGTATGGAAACTGTGATCGAAATAATCAAGAGAACAGCAGCAAGTCACGAGCAGAGGCTGCATAGTCATGTAAATGTCGAGGCAATCCAGCTTCTTGACAACACTGAACTAAAGAGAAGACTTATAAGGACAAAACCATTTGAGCTAGTGTAAATGTGTAACAGTTTAGTGTAAAAAGAAGAGTATAGTGCTGTGAAGTTATTGCATGTTAGTTGTAGTGCATTAGTTAATAGATAAAATAAGAGTAAGCCATAGGGTAAGCCCTTAGATTTGCTGTTATTATGTTAGGTCAGAAAATAACTGATAATTGGTCATTTGTGACCAAATAGCAGTATACAAACACCGCTCAGGTGTTAAAAAAAGTGAGGATGTATTAAAAATATTTTTGTCTATAATAGAAGCAAACAAAATTTGAAAGATTAAGTAAATTTAAAAAAAAAAACGAAAGAGTGTCTCCGCTCCATCGAATGCTGCTTTTTTCTAGGACGTATAAATGTACCTAAGTTTCGTCGTTAGCAACAACACGGCTTAGGTTTGCATTTTTGAAACCAAACCAAAATACTTCAAAATACTCGATGCTTTTACACTTGCACGTTTCAGGTCAACATTCAAACATTTGGGAATTAATTTTGCAGATATCATGAATTGCATCGATATTATGGGGGTGTACACAAAAACTGGCCTTCCCAATCGGTCTTCATCAGCAATAGATTCTTTTGTATTTTGTCAATTTACCTCTTCTGAAGCCAGCAATCGAATTTTTCACGATCGCCTTAATCACCAGGAGTATGTTTGATGTTGCTATGGTACATAATATTTGCTTTATCCTCGGAACTGGTCTAGACTAACTAGATATAAAATATAAAACATAGATACTCGTAGTCCTTGTATCTGTATCTGGATGGTGCAGCTGTTTCATTCAGATCTGGCCATCTTATTATTCTATCCAGTACTAAATTGAAAAGTACTGGGGAAATTCAGTCTTGTCGTTTTACTTGTTGATTGTCGTTAATAGCGTTTTCGATTAATTTTATTATTATAATCATGTACAAGTTTAAATATTACAATTTATGTTCCTGATTGTAAATACTAAACTAATATTTTTCAAAAATACAAACCAAAAAGTAGGTACCTGTGAGACAGAACTTTTCAGGCGGCCGTGGTATCCATTCCGAAGGGGTACGTTTGTTTCGCGTGGGAGCGCCCTCTATGTATTCTTTTTCGGCTTCATTCAATTTTGACTCTAATTCCATTACCTTCTTTTGCAGCCTTATGACGGACGTCCATTTCTTCTCCAACAGGCCGCCGAATTTCCTCTCCACTTCGCCGGGCATATCCGCCTCCTTCTTGAATGCCTCCAAGGCATCCGTGTATCCACTACTGCTGAGGTAATCAGCGATGGCTTTATTACTGAAACAAAAGAAACGTATGTTTAGATTAAATTTTTATAAGAGTAAAGCAAGTATGATAAGGTGTGATAATAACGACGTCCCTATTTTTTTTGGCTATAATATAACCCGTACCGCGTACGTTCGTGTAATATGGAACACACATTAAATTTATGTATGTAACTTATGGAATTTATTAAAGTTCAAGCTTGTTTGTAATTTGACGAAATTCAGGACGAAACTTCGGTAAAATGACTCATCAATATTCTTAAATATATAACGTCATCCAGTACCTGCTTTTGTCTTAATGAAATATCAAAAAAATATATGAATACAGACAGCATATTTTTCGTGTCTCGGTTGCATAGCCACTTTCAAATATTCCATATAAATCGACGATTTGAATTATTACTCAACTGAAAAAAAGCGAACAAAAGGAGCACATTATTTATTGTTTGATCAAAAGAAGTACACTCCTACATAGAAAGGAATTCTTTAGTTATTCCGTTACATAACGCCGATAATTTCGTGTTTATATTGCTGATTTATAAAAAATGTAATAACAGATAATGCTTAATTTGTTCTGACATTTAAATAACACTAGGCGTGTGATGGGAAGTGTTAATAATTTTGTAAAGAATGTGTAAAGAATGAGAAAATAGGGGGAAGTTGAATTATGAGACAAGTCTTTTGCAGTGTTTTTTTTTGGTACTAACTTCAATGAACTCCAGAAACTCGATAATGATTAGCCGTTCGTTTGTTATTTTCGATGGCTTAGCATAAAGAATAATTCTGACACGTAAATTACAAAAACACAGTTATTCTATTGAGAAATATTTATTTCAATATACTCATATTTCGTAACAGAGCTAACAGTAAGGCTTTAAAATAACTTAAACAATGAACGGAAAAACCATTATCTACTTCTTGCAGCAATGATTTTCCTCTCAAGTATGTATGTCATGAATGACATTTCTATGTTATCACAGTACAATAAGCTGTTTAGAAATTCTCTAACGATATTTTTAGAATTATTTTAATGTATGTACCTCAGTATATTCTCAATAAATTCAAATTGATAACATTTCCAACTTTGTACTTAAAAACAATAATTTACATTGAATATCGTTGAACAAAAATATAAGCAAATTTATCTTTAATTTATGATATTTGGGAAATTTTATTTCTGCACACATAGTTGCCATATTAGATATTTTTATTAATATCACAGTTTTGTGTATTACTAGCTGACCCAGCAAACTTATAATTTTAATCCTAACTGCGTTAGGATTAAAAATAATGTGTCAAAGTTCAATAAGCTCCTATTTCTAGCCTGTTAAGTAAAAGAAATATCTGGGTAATTAAATGAATCCGGTTGAGGTGTCAATAGTAACTTTATCAATTCCAATATCTAACAACTGCGCCGAAAACACAAATGCACTTTGGCTTTGTTGCACAAACACTCACATGTTATTTGTCAATTGTTATTGTCTTTATGTGCCGCCACAAATTGGATAATGTTGGGCATGCGTTCAGTTCGTCCGCAGCAGTCAATTGGGGAATAATTATTAATGAGGAACAGTCTGACAATAGAATCATGGCTCCACCAAAAATGTTTTTGATTGTCACGAATACCTTTCAAAATTCTGTCCAGTGGCTGTAATGAATTGTGGACCAATGTACATCCGTGTCAATGAATTAATTTGCGTACCTGTAAAATCTTCTCATTTGCTCTATTTCTGGCGATGTTGTAAGCTGATATCTCATTAATTTGTATGTTTAATGGCAATTTCAAGGAAAATTGTGCAGTTCGTCCGTCTTTAAATCAAGTTGCAGATATTCCAGATGAAACCAACGATAGGACTACTACTGCGATATGATCCTTGCCAATAACAATAAAATTAGTAATTCATTTTTCTGTCTTTTCTGACCAAATACTATTTATAATCTATTTATTTTATTAATCATAGCTTCCTTTGTTAATTATAGTATGACGTCAACTATTAGTTATATTTCGATTTAAAATAAGGAAAAACAGAAAAACTGTTTTTACGTCTTTCCGTAGAATTTGTTGAAAATTATCTTTTACACAAACCTTGTCCTGATAATAACAAAAAAAGAATTATCTAATTTGTTGCAGTCGTTCTGAAGGTATGTGCTTACAAACATTTTGGCGAATTAATTTTAATTTATATAGATAAACAAACCTCAAATTCAGGGTCACTGATACCAGTAATTGTTGGGAGAAAGGTGGGTAACAATACAACGATGCTAAAAAATAAAAAAAAACGACTGTAGAGAATTAACAGACAAAGAGAAGAAAAAAGGGGGAAACACAAAAGAAAAAAAAAACGAAACCACTAAGAGGAATTTAAATATTTAGAAAACCTTAAGAGAAAGAAAGAATTCAGAGCATTTTATAAGAAAGTTAACATCAACAGAAAATAATTCAAGGCACCTACAAACCAATACAGAAGTCCTAATGGTGACCTATTTACAAAAAGGAAAGAAGTATCGACTCGATGGATGGAATACTTTAAACGGGCACTTAATAAAGAGGAAGAAGAAAGAGATAAGATAAGTGGAACAGACAAGAGAGAAGAGGAGCCACTAACGATTCTTCAAATTAAAAAGACGCAGTTAAAAAACTAGCCAGAACCAAATCACCCCGAATGATCTTCCCGCTGAACTATATAAAGAAGGTGGCCACAATACCATAATATCACTACAGCCATAAAAGAAATATGGACATAGAAATCCCTCCCCACAGATTGGAATACTTTGCGCACCGTACACAAAAAAGAGATAACTAACAACAATAAATCAACGACACCTGTTATTCTCTCTAATACTAGTGTCATTCCAAAGAACCTTCTAAATAAAATCAAATAACTGAGTCTTAGTGAAAATTCTCTTTTGTCCCAACAATACGTAAAAAAATGATAACGTGCAACAGACTAACGACGGAATTACCAATATAAACATATTAACTATTTCATTTGTTAAATAGTGCAAAATTTGAGTATCTACGCATATACATTCCCATTATGGTTCAATTCGATATGAAAAATTTGGAAGATGGAAACAAATTAGTACCGTTATTAAACTTGAATAAATAACATGAATTCGCTCTCTTTTCTCTATTGACTCCATTCCATTATTTCCTTTAACTCCGTGGTACTACGTCTTCTTCTGTGCCCATAATAATTAAAAATTAAATTGAATAAAAATAAAACTCATTTTTATAGTAATTTTACATCGCATTCCGAGTGGAGCTATATATAAGTAGATTATTGTCTTCTCACATAGCAAGTTTACCGTTATTTATCCGTACGTACCTCTATCTAAATGCATATTAATTTGATGTGGAATGAACAGTGCATATCGAATTTGCCGACGACACCGGAACAAATAATTTTATGCTTCATAAGCGTAGGGATGAATAGCGACATTATCATATTAATTTTTAATCATTTGTCAACGACGGAACAATACAAATAACTCTCGATTGTGTTATTATGAGATGAATTAATGTATGATAATCAATTCTGGCTTCAACCTGTTCCAATGTTGAGGTTATTTTTCTAGACAGAAACAATCGACAATATGTGATTTGTTTTATTTTTTGGAATCATATTACAGAACGCACTGACAAATTAAGAAATATCTTAAGAAATATCCCATTAGAAATTTTTTTTTGGCCGTTTGATTTTTTTCTTTAACTGTATTAAGTTTTTCTAAATATACCGATAGGCAAAAAAAGTGGCCACCCTATAAATTTTCGAAAATAAAAATTCATTGGAAGTTTTATGCACTGTTTTATATTGTATACTTAACACCATTCATTTCTAAAATAAAAAATGGCCGTTACTGCTTGACTCGCTAGCATAATTTATTTAATTAGAAGGCTACTAAAGAAAATGGTGTAATATCAAAACGAATTACAAACGATAAACATTACGGAATAAAAACTTGCAAAATACGTTCACGATAGCATAGCAATATTCTTCACGAAGCATGTTTTGAAGTTCTGCAAGACTTTCTGACGGTCCTGGTTGAGTTCTAACTCTACGATGAAGTTCATCCCAAAGATGTTTGATGATATTCTAATCAGGGCTGCAGGCTGACCATTCTACAGTATTAATTCCTACTTCCCCAAGTAATTTGTCACGACTCTCAGTATGCAATCCCCAATAAATGGACCAAATGAAAATAGTGCTTCTGCCAAAACATCCTCTATAGAGCGGTGAGCATTCAGGGAACCATTGATGAAAATTTAGTTCAGTTCAAGCTTCAAAGGAGATTCCAGCCCAAAACATGACACCACCACCGCTAAACTTTCTTCTCTGAGACATAAAAGCTTGGCCATATCTTTCATTTCTCCGTCTCTAATCCCTCTTTCTGCCATCGCCAGACTTCGAACAGAACCACAATTCATCAGTAAATAGAATTCGGTTCCAATCCTGTATATCTCAGTGTTGATTTCGAGCAAAAATTAATCGATTCCTACAGTGTCTGGGTTGTAATTCGGGAACCATAACAAGCCTTCTTGTCATTAGTCATCTTTTCATTAAGGCGTCTTTTAATCATTCTTTCATTTACATTCACATTTCGAACCTCCTGCAGACGGTTTCTTGCAGCAATTGCACAGGAATGTTGATTTCTTAAAAGTTCCATCTTAATAAAACGATGATCTCTTTGCGAGGTAACTCATCTACGACAGGAACCAGGTCAACTTGACGTGAGTATGTACCAGTCTCTATAAACCGATGAAAAGCTCTCCGTACTGTAGTTCTCGGAATACCCAAAGTTTTGGATACATAAACTTGACTTCTTTCATCTTGTAGCAAAACAATAACGTTAGCAACATTTACTGAAGATAAAACCATCTTAATTATTCACTTAGTCGAGAGTGCCACGTTTGAAAAGATAAATAACTGTTTAATTAAATGTTTTCAATTTAGAAGATAAACAGAAAACAACAACAACATAAACGTCAAAACTGTCAAAAGGAAGCATACA